GCCCTTTTGAGCAACTTTTGTATAAATGTTGGTAACAGTCTCCCTTTCTCTTTAGTTTTCTTTCCCACATTTATTATATTTAAGTGTAGATGAATATACAAATAAATAAAAATGTAGTTTTTTTTTTTTTGTATATTAAAATATTAGTTATTTGGCAACATAAAGATTTGAATCTTTATTCTTTATCTCAAATTAAAGTTTTCAAATTTATAGGTACCAATTTAACTAATCTCTTATTGGTATAAATTAAAACATAGTACATTTAGGTAATTACACCCTAAATGTACAATAAATATAAGAAAAGAAATAAAAGTTCTTTTCTGCTTTTTCTCCATTTTTTACTTAAATAATATTAATTTCCTTCATTGTCATTGAAGGTGTTTGTATTCCTAAAGGGGCACATCCCTCTGAGGCTACGGACAGAAGCAGAAAAAAAATCTGCGGAAGATATGGTATACTACATGGTATACTTCTGTTACCTATATATTGAATCAAATGACATACAATAAATTAAATATCGAGCCAGTATATGAATGGGGTTTGTCTATTTTGATATTGCAGCAGCATGGATTCAAGTAATGGGAGCAATATTACCCATCCCTATTGTTGCAGGTATATGAAGTCCACTCAACTATACCTTTTTCTTTGTTATTCTTTAGAATTTCTTCAGGTAATTTTTCTTTTCCTTCACGATTCTTTGTCTCGACTTGGTGTAGGTAGACCTGTGAAATTATATAATCTGAAGTTAACCCATACGTTTGCCAATTCGGTTTTGCAATACTGGTGCAAGGAAATATCAACCTACAGGGATGCCAGACAACTTGATGAAAGTGGAACAATCTCAGCAATCTTCCAAGCAATCAAGAATGGCAGAGTCAAAATTGTGATTGAGATCCTCAAATCGAACCCAGATCTAATTTGGTGCAATAAAAACCTTTCAAGAGAAATACTCATCTCTGCAATCAAACATCGTCAAGGAGGTATTTTAGGGTTTGTTTTGAGGCTTGATGCAGGGAAGAAAACATTTCTCTCTTTAACAGATGAAGATGGAAACAACGTGTTGCATCTAGTAGCCAAGTTGTCCGACCATCGGGCTTACGTTAGTCTCGATCCAACTTGGGCCGCACAGCGCGAAGGAAAGTGGTTCCAGGTTGTCAGTTAACTCTAATTAACTCATATTTCTTTTCTCAATTTAACATTGAAAATATGCTATATTTTCATCCATCATTTTATTAAATTAAAGGTAAATTAGAAAGAAAAAAAAATTAAGCTGAAATTATAAAATGGAAAGCAATCCTATATTATCTGTATTATATATATTTTTAAACTGTATTTTACAATATATTATATGAAACCTTTTCATAAGGTTTTTCTCTTTCAGATATTTTCTCACTTTATTTTTACTTATCCCTTAATTTTATATGTGAATTCATATTGAGAACGATTTTTTTCAACTTAAGGACATTTAAATATTTTTATAAATTTACTTTATGTATTCCGAAATGAAAAA